AAGTCAAGGGTTAAGATCCCCTTACCGGTCATCTTTAAAAAAAATAAATAAATAAAAAAATTCAAACCTTTGTGTGACCCATTTATCTGTATATTGGACTAGAAAAACAATTTTCTATATAATACTTTAAATTGTAAAAACTATATGATTTCATTAAGAGTTACTGCCCACAGAGGTAGTTTATTAAAAATCAACAATGCAAAAAGCCCAAGACTCATTTCATATCTAGCCTACTAGATGTTTGTTCTTTTAGTGCTGTCTGTTCTTAAAGAAAGGTTAACTAGAGATGCTTTACTGCAGATGATTTCTTGGTAACCATAATATGCAAACTAAAAAATTACATGCCCATTCCATTTCTAGCAGATCTTGATTTTGATGATTTTCTTTAAATCAAGGAGGTAGGGACTGAAAGGGAACTCAGCCCTGCCAGTAGCTCCAAAAAAAAAAAAAAAAAAAAAAAAAAGGTAATAGCCACCTTTTGCATAGAGATCCTTTCAACACAGCAGGTCCTGGAATTCATTTCCTTATGCCAGAGAAATAATCACTATTCAAAAAGCACAAGGGTAGCAGCAAGAACACAGAAGACACAAATTCTCAATTATGATCCACTCTTATTTAGCAAGTGGTCTCACTTTTATATTTTCCAGTGTATTAGAAAAAATACTTATGCTTGCTATTTTGTCACTTACCAAAATGAAGGGGTGTAATGCAGAAGCCCCAAATCTGAGAGGGCCATTGCACAGTGTTTATCTATTCCAAAGTAATCATCTGGAGGTCAAGCAGTTACAGACGTGGGTTTATTAGACTTACGAGAGGCACCAAGGGCGGGTGGGCAGGCAACAAGAAGTCCACGCTGCCATGGAGCACACAGAGCAGTTAGTCAACAGATCAATGTAAATCCCTTTCACATGCAGGCCCTCAACCAGATCACTTTCATGTGCAAGCCCTCAACCAGCTAATGTAAGTCATTTTCACATGGTGCCCTACTTCTTCCAGCATCCTATTTATCTAAAGGGGATGTGACCTTCCTTGGGTAACCGCCTTGGCCAGAGGCATCTTCCCCCCACCCCTAGGGAGGAGGGAGGGGAACTCTGGTATGCAAGGAGGGGGGAGGGGAGAGACGCATGGAGCTCAAACCACTGTTTGCAATGAAGATATGAGGTAAACATAAGCACATTAAGTATAACCACAGGCCCACCTAATAGTTCTATGACAAGAAAAATACCACAGTAACCTAAGAAATCAAGCTAGTATCTGTATCTATAGTTTTGTTACTCCTGGTCAAGGGACAGTTTAAAAT